TCCACCTTTCTGGTCTAGGAGGAAAGCATATCCACATCTGTAACAGCTGTTCGGCTGGTGAACAGTATTTCACAATATTCTAAAATCTTCCCTGTGAAGTGTGAACTCCTGTAGACGGAGAGAACCCAGCGTAAGCTGCTCTCTCAGGGAGGGGTTAACTTTTCACAGGGGCGTATTTTCACAGCTGCTATTAAGCTACTGTAAGGCACTTCTGTAGTAGGGGGTCAGAAAAATGTTATGCACTGCAGGGAGAAAGGAGGTAAATTAGGCAGGTTACAGACATCTTGATAGCTTACCTAATTTGCCTCTTCCTTGGCTTTGCAGAAGTAGTCCTCGTATATGCAAACGCCTGCAGAGGAAGAGAGAAAACAAGGCTTTGAAGTCTGTCTGAGCTCAACAGCCCCAAAAGACAAATGCCACTTTCTAACAAAACAAAGCCAAAAAACCCCAAAACACTAAACAAACCAAATAGTATAATGGCAGAATTAAAGATATCCTAAAGCACCAAAGTCACTAATTTTTCTCTGCTTCCAACCTCACAGTTTAGAGGAGAGATAACATTATACCAGCTACAGCAGGGTATGGCTGCCTCAGGACACAGGCAACGTTTTTCTTAAACGCTTCCTTACTGGGAGTGAGGGAATTAAATACTTATAGATCAGTACCGATAGCGTTGGAGATTATTTCATAAAGATTCATAAATATAATTCAATTAAAAAGATATTTGTAAATGAAATCAGGGTAACCTTGACCAGACATTACTTATACCTCTGAATGTAATTGTGTTGTATCGGAGGCAGTAACCTAGAGCTGTAAAAGGTACCACGTGGCCAGTGTCATTAGATGATCTTTACTCAACTGTATCATCTTTAAAATCTTTTCCTCTCAAGATGAAGTTGTTACAGGAATCTACAGACGTTTGAGCTCCAGACAATTTTTGTTATGTTGAAGTAGTTCTTATCTTGCTTTTTACAAGCTTACTTCTTACGGCTTTCTTATTTTAAGCTGCAGTTTTCAGGTTGGAATAAACAATAACATAGAGGGATTTCTTTGTTTCATTAGAACTTACATTTTTATTCATAGAAGATACATCTGTGGGTGCCTTTTCTCTGCCCTTACTTTTGGTGCTATCGAATTTAGCCTAAACTATGTCAGATTATTTTCTTCCTAACTTTTCCAGTAGTCTAGGTTTGGTTTATCTGTCTTGAAAGGACAAAACAGAAATACAGGGAGCTCTGCTGATACAGGTTCATTGCTGCCCTAAGGGGTTTGTATTAGGCCAAAACCTGCTGTTACTACTTCTTGTGAGTGTATGTTGTCCGTATCAACGTGGGGCTGAAGATGAAGGTAATCTTGCTTGGTTTTGTACAAATATTTGGCCAAGTTTGACAAAAGAAGGCAAATGTACTGAAAGGTTTTGAGGGTTTTCCCAGGTGAGTGGAACAGAGATTGACATCTCTGTATTTTATTTCCTGAAATTGTTTGCTGAAGGTACCCTGTATTTTCAAAGCAGATATAGTAGTTCTCCCTCCTCTTAAACAGCAGCAGATCATTCAGACCAGGCTGACAATCTATGTATATGTATGTGCGTGCATATGGTGGAGTATGTTTGAAAAAGGGAAATACTTCAAATTTAACTCCAAATAAATTAAGTGTGGTAAGTATGTGTTCACTTTTGTTTGACCAACTGCCATAGAATCACAGGAAATGAGGGAACGAGCTGTTAGGTGGCTTCTTTCTCTTTATATCACAGTCATTGTCTGTGGATTACGTTTAGATATTTGTCACTTTTTTTTTTTACCAGTAAAGTTTAACATCTTGTCTTTGCTCTTTTTAAATGTACTGAGGTAAAGTCCTTAGAGAGAGATTCCTGTAGTATATTCCCTTCCAAATATTTTTAATAGAAGTAAATTTCTCCCTTTAAACATGGGAGGTAGTTCTTTGTTTGATCTTCTTGGCTCTTAGTTCTGCTTGTGTTTGATCCTGAGCTACACAGAGTTTGTTTTTCACTAGTACTACCAGAAAACCGTTCTCACAGCTCTCCTTTCAGAAACGAAACAAAAGAGATTTTCGGGCTGTATTTATGGAATTTCTGGGAAGGGAGGGGGGAAGCAAATAGAAGGATATATCTCTGTAGGCACAAGTCAGCAGGAAGTGTTGTTGTAGACTGGCATTAGCAATGCCACAATATGTATGAGTTAGAAATCTAGGAAAGGTTGTCCTTAGCTCAGATTGTATTCTCTTCGCCTCTGAGCACCACTTAATATCTGAAAACCTCTCCCTCACCAGTCTAAGGCTGTCTCACATACGCGCATGTGTTAAAGCAGGCAGGCGCATACGGACCAGTCTGGTTGAAACATACGCTTTTGTAATAAATATATCTAAAAATTGTGCATTCTCTTTCTTTGATAAATGCTCGGTGATAGTTTGGTCTTTGTCAAACATATGGTTCTTTATAGCAGGCGTCTTCGCAGCGCTGCCTTTGGGGAATGCTGCTGAGCCGGGAATAGCTCTGGGTGTCAGTGCTTGCCTGTGCCAGCTGCTTGATCAGATGTGAATGTTCTGCTCTAATAATGTAAATCAGAAATAAGAACCAAAGCTCTCGTGAGATTCACTGTGACCAATGGATGGAGAATAGACAGAGCCATCACACCTGCTTCTCCAATGCTACGTAGAAGTGATCTGTATCCGTAGTTACCAGCTGGAGACCTATACATTTAAGACTTATTTTGTAGCCTTTTTAAAATCAGTGCAGATACAAATGTAACGTGAATTTTGGGTTTGCTTTTCTGTGTGCCATCAGCATTTGCAGTAGCAAAGGAGAAAATTCTAGCGTAGTTCCAGCAAATAGTCAGAAGCAGTACGTACTCTGCGTTCAGCAGCACCGTTAAGTGATCCCACATAGCCAGTGCACTCAGCTGAGTTACTGACAATCTCTCTTAAGCCTGCATCTCCTTTACTTTCTGACATATATGTGATGCGACGGCAAGAGCAGGAATTGGTTTCGACGCAATACTTGCTATCTCCAAATCAGCCTGGATTTCTTGGTACTGCTGCTTCTGCTGCTCCATTTCAGAGTTGTGTCTCATGTCCAGCTCCTTGTTGATTCTCTTCAGTTCTTCATGGACAAGATGTAGCCTATTGTGATAGTCTAGGCATACGTATTGCCCGCGTACATATAACTCAGCATTCCCATTTAGGTCCTCTTCCACCCCTAGAACAGTAACCTGCTGTAATCCCTGGAACATCTGCCATAGTCACCACTTTAAGCTAAAACATGCTGCAGGATTCAAAATGAGATCAATCCTACATTCCTAGAGCAGTTCCCATCAAAGAAAGAAGGTGGAGCACCGTGGCGTGCTTTGGTCAGTTTCCTCAGATGAGGACACTTGCTAGAAATAATGTACTTTTTACAACCTACCGAAATATTTGGAGTGCACAGCAAATGCTGCTTTCTAGCCAAAGCTGTGAAGTTCTTGCATAGCTGTGATTCTCTTGTGGAAAAACCCACCACTACCAGAAGCCTTTAGCTGACCTGAATAGCTTGGTGTTGGTATTCAAAGGGAAAGATAGGTATTAGTGGAAGACCTTGAATGTGCAGATGCTAGCTTACTCTTCATTTTTGGATTCACTACACGATAGGGTTTGATGGTATTCTCAAAAATTGCAGGTCATGCTCCACCTCGGATTTACTCCAGCCTTGGCTTGTTTCACCATCTGTGTGGATTGCCTCACTCAGATTTTGTAAGCATGGGGATGTTAATAAAGAACGTAGACTTAGCTGGTGTTTGTTTAGTATATTCACTATAGTTTCAAATTTTGCTTAATTCTACTTTATAATTTTACTAGGGATTGGATCCTTGTGTGTTGCCAGTTTAACTAATTTCTGTGTGGCACAATATCAGATGTTTCACAGAAATGGAGGTAGATTTGATTTTCGTTATCCTTCACACTTGCTTTAATCTGACCCTTAACTTCATCAGATACTGACCCTAGTACTGCTTTTTGTTGGTATGCAGTAAAAGATACTTTGCTATCTTAATTTCAGTTACTTTTCCAGGGTGCAACACAGTTTATTTCAGCTCTTGACTTCTACTTCATACCTACCTTCCCCACTATTTTTTTTCTCTTTATTTTTGTTTGTCTCCCTGTATTTTTTGTCATATAGGTGTGCTTGGAGCCATGGCCTGAAAGTTCCCCCACATCTAAGTAAAATGTTCCGGATAGTTTTGTACCTTTGCCTTCAAGAAATTCCAGTCCTCCTCCTTTCTCAGCACCTCTACCAGTTGACTTCGTTAAGTAGCCTTCCCAACTTTTCATAATCAAGCCAAATTTAAAAAAAAAAAAAAAATTCAAGCAAATGTTAATAGAGCTGCAAACTTGTTAAAAAAAATACTGGTTTTCTAGCTGACATTTTTTTTCCACCTATAAGAGGCTTGTATAAAACAGATGAAAAATTTAAACCCCTGGAAACTAGTCCTGCTTGCCCTGAAGGCTGCTAAAATTATCACAGTTATTCAATCAGCCTTAACTGTTGACAGAAGTTTTTGTTTGTTTTATATAGCTACCGTATTTCATTTAGAAACTACTAAAAATATAATCATCTTAGAGACCATCTGCCTGAAGTGACAGTGCATGCTGGAGCTAAATTTTTAAACTTTTTCTCGTACTTTTTTCAATATCTCTCCTAAAACTGGTTACATGACAAGCTCGGTATTCAGTGCTAAGGGTTTCTTTTCTAAATTGATTTTCTACTTGTGTCCAATGTGCACACAACCATTTCCATCACATATTTGCTAACATTTCTTCTGGGAAATCAGAGGGGAAAAGTAGACACAGCCTTGTTTTCATATGCAAATGCCACATTAAAACTGCAGGTTCATCAGAACAATTAACTGTACCTTTGATGAAGGGTACATCCTTTTGCCCCCCTCAATGGCTCTTCAGGCCTGGGTTCCAGGACAAAGAGGAAGCAGAACCTGAGCTGGTTGTCAGGGTCCATGGCGTACTACTGCACAGCACGGGCTTTTTGTTTGTTTTCTGTTCAAGTAATACACATAGTATGAAGGAGGAGATTTCCTTTGGGAGAGAATTTGGTGACAGAAGAAAGTTCCAACACTTTGAAGTGTAGTTATTTAGTGTAAAACAACTCATTTCAAATGTTTCCCCTTGTCTCATCATACGAGCTGTTTTCCTCGGGTATTTTGTATCTTCTCCAAAATACCGACACCTGCACTTGGCATCTAGGATTGAAAGTGAGAGTAAGCAGAGCTAGGATAATTAATTTGTCCTCAGTAAGGTTGGTGGGTTGG